CCCTTCCAGCCCTAATGTCTATGAAATCTATGAAATGCCCTAAGTCGTTAGTAAATAAAGTTGAATTACTGTTTCATGTATGATTACTAAAATAAGTTCTTTCCTCCTGGATTGCCCTCTTGATAGTCATGTAGAGAAATCTTTTTGAAATGAACCAGTTTTTTGTGCACCTATGTTTGTGTATCACTTGTTTCTTCACTAAGCATCACATGTGAGAATAAGTACATACACTCTGTACCTTCTTCAGGGCAGACCACAGGTCCTTTGTTAACCCCTTTTTTACTTCTGTAATTTACCATTTCACTGTCAGCTGCAGGTTTTATATTGTAATTCTAATCTTTTTATACAGAGACGAGGTGGTACTGGGATAGAAATACATGTGCTCTGGGAGTGGTGGGGAGGGGCACTTTAATTAGAGTGGTTCCGAGAGCTTCTCTAACTAAAGCGCAAGTCACCATTTTTCAGCATAGGAATGCTAATACACAAGACACTGGAGTTCCCTGGAACACAGTAATTACCACACTTCAGCAGACTCGATTAATTGAGTCTGCTCTGATGCGCTGTAATTATAGCATGTCAGAACAGCCTCGCTGCTCATGTATAGGCACCCAATACTGTTAGTGTTTGGGCTTCCGACAACAGGATGCCTCTGTCCTGTTGCTGAAGGACCCCTTTAGTCATGGAGCCTAGTAGGTTTGCTGGTGCTAAGAGGAAGATAGCTTCTTAACTGACAAAGCATAAACTTGAAGAAAGGAAAACTTTTTTTTGGTACATCTTGATAAAAAAGGAGGTGAAAGCATATGTTGAAAATAATGACTTCTGGTGTTACTAATCTTAAAGAACTGGGAGAGGCTTCAGTGTCCTTGATTACTACCATGCCTCTGCCTGTGCCACTGTATATTTTCCCATGTACTGTCCTGCGCCTTCCTAGAAGTGATTCTTCTCTCTGTAAAGTAGGTGATGTCAGTAAGTTTCTGTTTTTCTGAAACATTTGCCTGCACTTTCTGGTGTCTTACCAAACCCATTCAGATACCCAACTCCCACCTCTCCCCAACAAAAAAAAGAAGAAAAAACCCACTCCCAAAACCCACAAGCCCTGATGATAGCCCTGGTTGCTGTAGTATATACAGTCTACTGAATTCAGAGATCCAGTAAATGAACAAACAATTAAATAAGAGTAATATATCAGTAAATGTGTGTTCATTTGCATAAATAAATGTAGCTTTTATTTCAAAGCATACTAGTAAATACCAGAAATATTTTGTAAAAGTAACAACTTGGGACATGGCTTCTTTTTTTATGAAGGGGTAAGGGATGGTTAGTATTTGAGTAGTATCAAATATGTACATTAACAAAATAAGAACTAGTAAGGAGCTGCTTTAGCCATTTTTGTTGTCTTATTTAAGCAGAATAATGGACATAATCTAAACTCCACTTGTATATTTACTTGCCTGTATTTTGGTTGCTAAAACCAAATAGTTAGGTTAGAACTATAATTAGAAATATTTCAATTTCTACCATTTTTTTTCCAATGTTTACTCCTTTCAGCTGTAAATGCAGTATCCTTGGGGAAGAATGGAGTTGTGGAACTGATGTTTAAGATCATTGGTCCTTTTAGTAAAAAGAACACTGGCCTTATGAAGTGAGTAAAAGGTTTTTTTTTTAAATATATTATATGCAAAAAAACTTTAAATGCTTTTGAAAATTTATTTTTGAGGAAGAATTTTTAAATCAAATTCTCCTTCAGACTTCACTGTTAAATGCTGGGACAAAACCCCTAAACCTTGGATTCTGTAAATACCACCTATTTCCAAGCCATGATATTAAAATACCTAGTTATTATGCCAGGTAAGGTACAGAAATGCTCTCTTACCTGTGCATCACTCCTACATACAAAAAACTGCTCATAGCCTTCCCCAGATCACTTGAAACATTTTGAGGCAGTTTCATCAGCATTAATTTCTTGAAGTTTTGCTTCAGTGTTATTCTACAAACACATTGCAAATATATTTCTTGATACAGTGCCATGTCATCTTAGAGAGCCATGGGGTTGATAGGTAGTCAGGCTGTTACTATTATAGTTAAATTGATATAAACTAAAAAGCAAAAGGAAAATGCTTGATCCTCATGTCTCAGGTGTTACAATATGCAGTTTCTTTAGGGCAGAGACACATAACATGAAGGCAATATGCAATTTAGTATATGTATAGGAAACTTTCAGTGGCACTCTCAAATAATAATACTTCCTTGATTCTTTAGTTTGTTACTGAATCTTAGGTAAAAATAGAAAAGCTGGCCTGCCTTTAACATTAGATTTCTCAAAAAAATAGTTCTGAATCATGCTATCTCATTAATTTGTGCCTATTTTAATACCACTCTTTCCTTGTAATTTACCTCCTTTTTGAATTGCACATCTGTGCAACAGGAGGCCTCAGTTGCATACCAAATAACCATGTTGGCACATACTAATTTCATTGTGCACGTAACAAGTATGTTTTATATTTTAAACCTAATGCAGATGAATACAGTTCTTACAGTTCTTGTGAATATAGTTTTTACAGACTACTTTGATTTATACAAATGATTTATTCCTTTTTTTTGTCCAAGAAAATTAAAATGTATGACTATAATTCCTTGATGTTTTTGAGCATGGATTTCCTAGCATGTAACTACTATTAGTCGAGGACTAGGTGTAGTCTACCCATCTTTGTGAAGAGGTTAAAAAGAATGTAGTTTTTACATTCTGAATAATAGGCAAGGGCTTCTAATGTAGAAATGTTATTTTATATTTGCTTAATAGGAATATACAAATAACAAATTAAGAATATTGATCTATAACCAGTTTTCTTAACGATCAATTTTGCTAAAACAGTGTATTATAGTGTTATGCAAGTAATTTGTTACATTTCAAACATTAAAAACATTCGTTAAAAATAATCTATAATTTTATAATGTTCAGTTATGTGAATAGGGCTTGAGATTGTGGGTATCATCTTTGTAAGAGTTTTTAAAGTTCACGTAACCATTATATTGGTGTTTCTAACTTACATTATCTGATTTCTAGAAGAGATGCATGACATAAAATTAAATGTTTTGAGGAAAAGCCTACATAATATTAATACAATCAAGGTAGACTTTGGGATGGTTGCTCAGGAAGTCAGTTGCTTATATTTTTTATGGCTTTACAATGTTGTAGATTAAGTTTACTAGTTCTTTGTTGTTTGTCTCTTGTTATGTTGACAGGGTTGCTTTAGACACACTTGCTGCATTGCTAAAATCAAGTAAGTGTTTGACTCCTAGATGATTTCTATTAGACTATATATTTTTTAACTAAATTATTTTGATTAAAATCAACAACAAATAGGCAACTTTAAGTGAAAATTTCATCTTTAATGTTTTGTGTTGTATTTCAATATTTGCAGCATGTGTAATATTAACTGTCTCTAACCAGTCGGGTAGCAGAGAGTCTACCCAACTTATTGCAGAAACTGACTTGAACTCTGTGGTGAGGAAGTATCCTTTAATAGCTGCTTAGCTCCACCCTTCTGTAGTGGGTGGCTATGATTCTCACTCCCATGAATTGTAAATCAGGGTGAAGCCAGATTTCACCAAATGTATACCATTTCCTTTAGCCTGGCTATGATGAAATGAGCCTACATGCCTAAAGAAAGTATCTGATACTAGCTTTAAAATAAAGATTACAAGTATAGAAATAACAGGGGCCATCCTTCTCCAGTGGCTAACTGGGTCTGTAAGGATAGATGCTAAGAATTTTATCTCTGCTAACTTTCCAGTATGCTACAAGCTATTATTTCCTTTCCTCACAGTGACTCTGTGTGTACTATGGTAGTTTTAGAATAGCAGTAAAATGGGTAGGAGTTGTAAGGTGACCAGGATTTCTAGATAACCACTCTAGGGTACAACTGGAAACTTACTTGTGTGTGGTGGTCTCTGTCTCTGTTTGTACTGAATTAGTCATTCTCAGGTTTGATCAACTTCACAGCTTTTATTACTCCCTGGACTTTTGTAGTTGTAAGTATTTTTCAGGATTTCTTGCAGAGAAAATGCCGATAGAAGGAAATATCTCAGAATAATAGTCTGCTGCTGCTATGTAAATGCAAAGTTAAATCTGAGGTCTATGAAAAACTAAGAAGCCAACATACCTACTTTTTTCAAAGTGGGAAATTCTGATTGATGATGGTCTATTATGTAAATTAAGAGACCTTAGAAGAAATGTAAGCGAAAGTGGTTCCCTGGGGTCCTGAAGGCCTTTTGGCATTGTGCCACTCTTTCCTCCTGAGGCATATATATGTATTTCACAAAGTATGCATTTTTGGTGTGTGCAACCTGTTTTGTAAAATAGAAAATTCAAATTTAAAAATAAGTGGAAATGGCTTTCTGAACCTTCATTTTATAAGTCTTTACAGGCAGTCAGCATAATATAGTTGTCATTGCCAAACTGTCTTGTAACTCCTTTATTTTTCTATTACTGGTTTCTCTGAAAATCTTTTGTTTTTCATTAAAATAATCAAGGTTTTTTGCCTGCAGGAGGTATTTTTGGGGTTTGGGTCATTTCAGTCAGTTATGTTTTGGATCTTGGACAAAATCTGGCAGTTAAAATCAGTTATGTATTTAATGGAAATGGCAGAACTGCAAAAGTTCAAGTTAACTGGAGAACAGTTTTTATGGAGGTGCAATGACTTGGAAAAATTTGTGGTTTGAGTTTATAGAGATACTACACGGCAGTTCTTTTTTTTTTTTTTTTTTTTTTTTTAAAGGC